GGGTCAATATGAAAAAAGTAATTTCTGGATTTTGAGAAATTTTGCCTTATTGATTTTTAAAAATTCTTTATTTGTGAAATTGTGATGATTTAAAATTCATTAATCTCAGCAACGGCTCAATGGATCGGGGTGGTCTCAACTTTGTGTGAGTTGTCTTTCAAGATGCTAAATATTATTTGCTTGCACCGATACTGTATATCGTCCACAAAATTTTCTAGGTCAAAAATAAGTTTTCTTTATGTATTTATTTTATACTCATTTTATTGTTTTACACCTTTACCTGTATTTTCAGAATACATAGAGAAAACATATTTTTGACCTAGAAAATTCTGTGGACGATATACAGTATCGGTGCAAGCAAATAATATTTAGCATTTTGAAAGACAACTCACACAAAGTTGAGACCACCCCGATCCATTGAGCCGTTGGCACAATTCTAAGATTTTTAAAGCTAAATAAACGAGTAAACACCCTTTTGTCAAACACTTTATATTCGGTCGAGACATTAGACTCAGTATTACGTGATATACTACTCGACGCCCTCTTAGGGATGGCACCTATTCATTGTAAACATAACTATATATTCTTGCTCAATTACAAATTATATTAGATTACCTGTACTTGTTGCCGGTTTTATATTTGTATGTTGTGGTGAGACAGGATTTACATTGCTTATTTTTTCCATTTTTAATTTATATGTTATAATGTTTTTAAAAAACAAATAATCGTCGGAATTGTTTTGAGCTATGAATTTATTAAATGCATTAATATTTGAGTCAATAATGTCCTTGTTAAGTGACCATGTATTTTTATTTAATATATCAGTGCACTATCGGAATTGTGTTGAGCTATGAATTTATTAAATGCATTAATATTTGAGTCAATAATGTCCTTGTTAAGTGACCATGTATTTTTATTTAATATATCAGTGCACTCAGGTCTAAGGTATGAACCGTAGTGAATCATTGATTTAAAAACACCTAGTATATTTTTAAAACTTTCGTGTAGTGAAGTGTTTGTATAGTTGACCAGTTCACTTCCACTAAAAAAATTATTTAAAAAATTTAATGTTTTAAAAATTAAATTATAAATACAATTACTATTTCTATTCAATACTTACTCTAATATAATATCAAACAATTCCATCGAAAGTATACCCAAACTATAAATGTCTGCTTTTGTCGTATACTTTGATTGACCCAATTCTGGGGCCATATATATAAAAGTTCCCACATTTCTGGTGTGACTCTGAGATACCTTCTGGTGCTCAACAGCCAATCGGAATTGTGTTGAGCTATGAATTTATTAAATGCATTAATATTTGAGTCAATAATGTCCTTGTTAAGTGACCATGTATTTTTATTTAATATATCAGTGCACTCAGGTCTAAGGTATGAACCGTAGTTAATCATTGAATTAAAAACACCTAGTATATTTTTAATCCTTTCGTGTAGTGAAGTGTTTGTATATTTGACCAGTTCACTTCCACTAAAAAAATTATTAATATTTTAAAAATTAAATTATAAATACAATTACTATTTCTATTCAATACTTACTCTAATATAATATCAAACAATTCCATCGAAAGTATACCCAAACTATAAATGTCTGCTTTTGTCGTATACTTTGATTGACACAATTCGGGGGCCATATATTTAGGAGTTCCCACACCTCTGGTGTGACTCTGAGATTCGTTCTGGTGCTCAACAGCCAAATCAAAGTCGCATAACTTAATAAATCTACCGTTCCTTACATTTTCAGCAATTAATATATTTTCGGGTTTGAGGAAATACAATTACTATTTCTATTCAATACTTACTCTAATATAATATCAAACAATTCCATCGAAAGTATACCCAAACTATAAATGTCTGCTTTTGTCGTATACTTTGATTGATCCAAATCTGGGGCCATATATTTAGGAGTTCCCACATTTCTGGTGTGACTCTGAGATACCTTCTGGTGCTCAACAGCCAAACCAAAGTCGCATAACTTAATAAATCTACCGTTCCTTANAGTTCCCACATTTCTGGTGTGACTCTGAGATACCTTCTGGTGCTCAACAGCCAAACCAAAGTCGCATAACTTAATAAATCTACCGTTCCTTACATTTTCAGCAATTAATATATTTTCGGGTTTGAGGTCTCTGTGAATGATCTGTGGATTCAATTCATGCAAATACTGAACACTTTCTAAGATTTGTCGCAATATTTCACACGAAATGAAATACTCGACACAAT